ACACAGTATTTAGGTTTGATGCTATATAAATACATATTGGTTTAATGCAAAGAAAACTGTTCCATTACTACAGTGATCAGTGTCAGTGGCATCACCTGGAAGATGCAGATTTTCAGGCCCCACCTCAGACTTGCTAAACCAGAAGCTCTAGCTGGGGGGAAAGGGGGCGAGGGGGCAGAGGGGGTTTGTAGGACTTTTTAAAAAAAATAAATTTTTATTGATTTCAGAGAGGAAGGGGGAGAGAGAAAAACATCATTGATGAGAGAGAATCATTGATTGGCTGCCTCCTGGGGCATGTGCCCCCAACTGGAATTGAACCAGGGACCCTTCAGTCTGCAGGCTGATGCTCTATCCACTGAGCAAAACCAGCTAGAGCAGGGCTCTCTTAATAAGCTCTCCAGATGATTCTCTGAGGTGTGAGAACCACTGCTGTGGTATCTTGTAACTGTTTTCACTGGCTACAGTGAAACATGGGCAAGCATGCAGCCTGCAGTTGCAGCCACACTGTAAGCATTCCCTGTTAACTGCAGGCAGGGGTGTGTGTTCCAGGGGAGCCAAAGTGAGCAGGCTTTTTTGGTCAAGTCCTTGAGTCCAAGGGTTTCTCTTAAGTAGATTTTCTTTTTTCTTTAAATATCCTTAGCTCACAAACCATAGTTTCTTCCCATTACCAGTCATAATTATTAGTTCATCCTCTCTGGTAGATGGGATGTTTGTGATACTCTTCATGATGTCAAAGGAGTTACACCAGCCTGAGTCTTCCCTGCTCTTTATCCTGTTACAGCCATTTCCTCACAGCTATCTTGAGCTGCTTAAAAAATGTTAACATCCAACATGATGCTCTTTTATATTTCTTGATGGCAGAACTGATTTTATTTTATTATTAGTGGCCTAGTGCATGGATTCATGCATATTGAAAGGAAATTAATTAGAAGAAATATTTTAATATTGCTATTTGCCCTTTCTCTATAATAAAAGTATCAGAGATGACAGAAAATTAGTAAAATCTATGTGAAAATAATATATAAATTGATGAATAAGTAAACAATAACATGATATAACAACAAATACATGATATAAAAACAACAGAAATATGATATAAAAACAATGACTGATAAAGTGATTAAACTTATACTAATATCTCCCTGTATACCTCCACCCTTCCCTCTGAGATTCATTGGTCTGTTCCATATTTCCACACTTAAGGTTTCCACTCTTGGTTGAGCATCTGCCCCCTGGTGGTCAATGCGCATCATAGCTACCAGCCAGTCAGACACTTAGGCTTTTATATATATAGACTAGAGGCCCGATGCATGAAATTCGTGCAAGAGTAGGCCTTCCTCTCCCCAGCTGCTGGCTCTGGCTTCCCTTTGGCATCAGGGACCTGGGCTGGCTTCCCTCCGGCTGCCCGGAGGCACCCAGGACCCAGGCTTCCCATGCAGCCCTGACTTTGTCTGAAAGGACATCTAGCATATTAGGCTTTTATTATTATAGATTATTTTAATCCTCACCTGAGGATATTTTTCCCATTGATTTTAAGAGAGAGTGGAAGGGAAGGAGAGAAGGAAGGAGAGACGGAGAGATAGACTGAGAGAAACAAACAGTGTGAGAGAGCCACATCGATTAGTTGCCTCTCATATGTGCCCCAACCAGGGCTGGAGATCCAGCCTATAACCCAGATTCATATCCTTGTACACGACTCAAACTGGGTATGAGGGCTGACACTCTAGTTACTGAACAACATTGGCCAGGGTGAAACTATGAACTTTTGATAGTCCTATGTGTCACAGTTATTTATAAGGACTCACCAGAAAATGGTATGGAGAGAGAACCCACTGCAAGCACACTTAATTCAAGATAACATAGAACAAAAACTTGACAGAGAGCTGGAGCTTACTGGCCAGGACTGTGCAGTGATGTCATTACACAGTTTTTCTTTGGTTGAGAGGGTAAGGTAGCTCTTAGTATGAGAAAACTGCATCACAGAGTTTGATAATAGACTATTAGATAAATAGAGATAGAGATAATTGCTAAAGTATTTTAGAGACAAATAATATTCTATCGAGTCAGCATACATGGGGTAGTGTTAAATGGAGTCAATGAGTATGATAAAAAGTAAATGCCATTTTGTGATTTAATCTTAATATTATTTCAAATATTCTGTATGTGAATACAATCTCTTTAGAGGCCCAAATGCAAGGCAAACATTTAGAACAGTGGGTCTGGATCATGAATGTGCATCAGAATGACCTTTAAGCTTGTTAAAAATATAACTTGACTGGATTCCCAGAGATTTTTATATTGGTAGGTCCAAGGTGGAGCCCAGGACTCTGTGTTGTTGTTGTTGTTGTTTTTAAAAATATATATTTTTATGATTTTAGAGAGGAAGGGAGAGGGAGAGATAATCATTGATTGGCTGCCTCCTGCATGCCCCACTCTGGGGATCGAGTCTGCAACCGAGGCATGTGCCCTGACGGGAATCAAACCTTAACCTCCTGGTTCACAGGTCAGTACTAAACCACTGAGCCATAGCAGCCAGGCACAGGAATATGTTTTCAACAAGCACCCCAGGTGATTCTGGTGTAAGTGGTCCTTACCTTTCATTTTGAGAAACACAGCAGGTCTGAAAGAAAATGAATGAGTGTGAGATGGTAAAGCTCAGCCAATTTCAAAAGAGTTGTACCTGCTTTGAATCATTGTAATGCATTGCTTCAAGCTTTTGAATAGCACATATATTCTGCCTCATTCTAATTATTTGTGTATTTGCCTCAGTCCCTCCAAAGATGTAAGGTCTCTGAAGCATGGGATTATGTGATATACTGACCTTTGTATATTCAGCATGGCTTATCCTGGGCCTTCTCATTATTGAGAAGGTGCTCAGTAATATTATACTTGTCAAATGAATTAAGGCAATCGGGTAAAAATACATTTGAAGAGGGTGATTGAAATAGTCAGAAAGAGCTTAGTAGTTTTGGCTCCTTCCCCCCATCGGCTGTGAGTCTCGTCATCTCTCAGGGACAGAACCCAGCATTTGTAGCATCAGAGATTGGTTTGCTTCTCTTTCACAGGCTGCTATGGGGTAAAAATGAGGCAGTGCAAGTGAAAATGCTTTAAACTTGTAGAACAACTTATTTCAATTGTTTTGAATGTGTCTAACCCAATTTCTCCTGAGAATGAGTGATAGGTTGTCTGACTGAGGCAAAGTTATTTCTGGCCATTATAGAAAAGCAAATTCTATTATTTGAAATTTAAAAGAGCCACATGACTTCTCCAACTTCAAGAAGAGTAATCAATAAATTAATTTTATAATATGATGGAAGGAGTAATCCACAGCTAATGAAAGGAGATACACAGAAGAGCAAATTATTCCCATTGCAGTTTGATTCTGAGATGGAGACTTTCAGAAGTCTGCAAGTGTTTAACGAAATGATGTCAGAATTTTACTGGCTCCCTCGAGATCATTTAAAAGATAGCATGTATCTGATAAGATGAGCTGAGAAGTGCAGGTATATAACATTGCTTTAAAAACCTCAAGGTAGGAATTACTACCCCTCAAGCTATGAAGAACCAAAGAACTGAAAGACTTACAAGAGGCAATGTGTCCCTGGTGGTAAATGCAGGTGCAGGATTAGAGCCAGTCCATTGCTTAAGGGGGAAAATAAGGACAGTGCACAGGGAGTTTTCCCTGAAGCCATACTTGTTCAATGGAGCCTACTGTGTTTCATTCTAAGATCAGGTCTTTTCCTTGTTCTGCCTCATTAAAATGTCCTTGCTTTTATGAAGTGTCAGTATGTTTTTAAGCTGGATATGAAAAGTTGACAATGATATTACGACTCATCATTCAAATTTATTTACTCAACCTTGAGTTTGAATTCTGGATCTATTCAAGGAAAGTGGCTTGAGGATTTCTAATCCACTCAGGCTTTGATTTCTCCATGTGTAAAGTCACATAACAGGGGCAATGATATTTACAAAGATCTTAGTACAATTTGTTCTGCATTGTAGGCAATCAGTAATTGGTGGTGGCTAGATGAAGAATGAGACCATGACAGTGATGTCTTCTAGATAATTATATGGAGTGTTAATGGTATAAAATTGTGTTTGATGTTTTCCCATTTATTCTATAGGGGCCTCATTTGGGACCTAGCCATGCCTTTGTTCCAAGCGTTAAGACCAAGGCAATTTCCCTTTCATGCACACAGCCGACCCAAGAGCCCTGTGTCAGTTGTTAGGAACATTCCAGAATCAGCGCTAGGGTGGGGTTGTGCCTACTGGCTAAAGTTCTCATTGGATCTAGAATTTAAATATGCACATTTGGTTCTAGGACTAGTACTTCCTTGTTGTAGAATGTGTATATTTGCTTAAATCACAGTCAGTGTTTGTTGGTGATTTGAATGAATAAATGTAAAAATGAATCTCAGGGAATATAATAGCTCCATAGCATTAAGGTTTTCCCAATTATCTGCTGCTGTGTGTTTCAGGGACCTTTCGGAAATAGATAGCATTCTTATAGGTGACCTTTAACTTATTAGCTTGCTAAGAAATACAGCAAACAGAAAAAAAGTGGGAGTTCCTCATAACTAAAACACAGTTACGTGAAGTCCATGATGGATATTGCAGGTGTTCTGGCAGGCATCGTCCTAGTGAAGATTTAAGCCAAATTTCAGCTCATGGTCTAATGACATCCAGACTTGTTTCCCTAATAATTCTAAGAATTCTGTAATTACATTTTATCAGACTCCTTTGAATGCAATGAAAATTTTTACTGAATATGGCCTAGGTTCGATGGCAAAAGGATCAGGAAATGGAATAGAACGAACTTTCACTGAGTGTCTGACCTGTGCCAGATATTTTGTACATTTATTTAAGCTTTGTAAACATTTTGCAGTCAAGGGAGCTAGAGTTCAGGGGGCTTCAATAACTTTTCCATGGCCTTTCAGAGAGCCAGTGGTAGGGCCAGGATTCAGATCCAGGTTCATGTAGCCACGACTCATTCTGACTCTGTAACTTATCATTTGCCCCTTTCTTTCCAGTAAATGTGAAAGATACGTGAAACAGACTTTAGCAAGGGACAGGAAGGATTATAAAGAACTGATTGTGTTACGATGAAGGGCAATACTGCTTGTCTATTAGTATGTGATTTGGGACTTTACCCAACTGTAAGGCCACAGAGTTGGACTAGATGGCCTCTGAATGGGGTGACCACACGGCCCCATTTGCCAGGGCAGCCCTGGCTTATATCTGTGGTGCCAAGGCAATGACTATTAGCATCCTTCCCACTTTAAAGTGTTACACTGTGGGTCATAAATTCCAAGGCTGCCTTATACAAGGCTCTTTCCAGGTCTCAATTTCTTTTTCCCCCTTAAATATATTTTATTGATTTTTTTTACAGAGAGGAAGGGAGAGATATAGAGAGCCAGAAACGTTGATGAGAGAGAAACAACCAGCTGTCTCTTGCACACCCCCTACTGGGGATGTACCCGCAACCCAGGTGCATGCCCTTGACCAGAATCAAACCTGGGACCCTTCAGTCCGCAGACCGACGCTCTACCACTGAGCCAAACCGGTTTTGGCTCCAGGTCTCAATTTCTATGATTTCCATTTGGATATAATAATTCCTTTGACAACTGAAGTAACATGAATTTTTTCCCCCTAGGTCTATGAAGTAGAAGGGGCTGACAGCACCTGAGGTGACTTTCGTCTGGAGGTTGTTTGCATTTCTCATGGGAATGATTTTTCTGCTCTTACTGTTTTCCTTTAAAAGTACACTAGTAAATCCCCTTCTAGTCAATTTGGTTCCAGTTAATTTGAGATCATTATATAAATATTTGTTTTCAGTTCATACTAATAGTGGCTACCACTTATTGAGCACTTAGAGAAGTCAGGGTGAGTGCGTTATCATTTAGTACACTTATTAATGCTGTAAGACAGTTCACTTTATACATGAGGAAACTGAGGCTTAGAGAAATTAAGAGATGGAGCCAGGTCTTCCTAATTTCTTAACTATTATACTACTAGAGGCCCAGTGCACGAAATTCGTTCATGGGAGAGGGCTGGCTCCTCCGCCCAGCCTGCTCCCTCTCCACTCCGGGACCCTTTGGAAAATGTCCAACTGTCAGTTTAGGCCTGATCCCAGGGATTGGACTTAAACTGGCAGTCGGACATCCCTCTCACAATCCTGGACCACTAGCTCCTAACTGCTCACCTGCCTGCCTGGTCACTCTTTACTGCCCCCCCTTTCCCCCCACCTGTCTGGTTGCCTCACACAGCCTGCTGTTCAGTCGTTGGGTCATCCCTCACTAACCACCCTGCCGGCCTGGTCATAGGCAGCCATCTTGTGAAGGTCAATTACATATTACCTCTTTATTATTATATAGGATACTGAGATATGTACACAGGCACACATACATACACAGTGGTTAATTTAAAATCACACAAAAAAAGGCAAGGCTGGCTAATCACTAAGAAGCTGTATTTGCATGGCTGCATTTGGATAGTTTCAAAACAAATTCCCTCTGATTTCCAGGAGTAGTTTCTTTCTCTCAACCCCATAAGCATCAGATTTAGATTTTTAGAGTTTTGCCTATCCACCCAAATCTGGTTCTATCTTTTGAGGAAAGGCCTCCTAAATTCCCATTGGCCTTTCCTATATTTATCAATGTCAGTGCTAGTCTTTGTAATTTCATCTTCTATTGCTTCTACCATCCATCTTTACCACAGAGTAGAAGCATCTGCCTCAAATACAGACAACAAATTTTGGTGACAGGTTCTCAGGAAAAATAAGGTATTAAAAAGTGGATGCGATGAATATTTACTTACTTATAAATACCTTCTTCTTCTTTTTTAAAAAATGTCTTTCTTTACCAGAGTATAAAATAGAAAATAGACACTTGCTTTTTTGTTTATATTTACATAGACAATATATAAATAAAAACCACCAGTTGACACTCATATCATTCTGCTTTTATTTATTTTGTGGCTAACTTACAAAGACACAGATGTCTTAAATAGACTCTGTACCATTTAAACTATCCCCATTACTTAGATACCAAAATGTGTTTGTTTATATAGTGCAGTGGTATGAAAAATGTTTTTTTCTTTCTTTACAGTCCCTGACTATAAACAGGGGAAAATTAATTTCATACCAAAAAATTCAGGGCACTTTAACAATCATCCCATCCCATATCTGTTACTAGGATAACAAAATTGGTATTACAAGTTAAAATATAAAGGCCTAACCGTTTGTTACAAATATGCAAATAATCTGCTACTTAGACATAAAAAGTTGATTTCTTTCCAATCACAAAGTAAGGCACCATTGGATTAAACATTTTCTAGGTTTTTACTAAATAAAATGCATAGTGAAATAAATACCGAACACTGAATTTTAATACTGTCATACATTTCAATATAAAATGATATGTGAATGTTAAAATATTGTATTGCATCTTGAATACATTACCTGGAAAATTTATGGAAAAACACACACACATAAGGCTCTGATTTCAGGGAAGAAAATTATTCATTTTTGTGATTTTCCATAGTTGAAAATTTTAGCACAGAACTTATTCAAAGTTTTGGATGCAATTAGGTTGCTAACTTTCAAAGCAAGAATGTAAGTGTATTCATGAAACATTCACTTAAAAAACACATTCTAAAGCCTCTCCCTCCTGGTGCTTATAACTTTGAGTGGTAGCCCTGTTTCAGACTTCAGGATGGCACCTGCAGAGTTGAGATACACAAGGCCACCGGCCATTCTTACTTCCCTGCACAAAGCCCAGACCCCCCTTTTTTGGGTCACACTTTTCTCTGCCATATTTGCTAGCAAGACCTCTTTTCTGAAGTGGGTCATTAGGCTTTTTCATAGGAGTTTTAATCAACTATAGATTCAAGAATGATATCTGATCAAAGAATCCCAAAGAAAATGATGCTGCTATATTACTAAAATATGAGCAATACCATATTTTGAGGAAAAACTTTGCCAAGCTTGTTATACCTTTATATTTCTTGATTCTCTGAGTAAAGGACAAATGAATGGTGGTGGAGGAGGGAGGGACCCAAGTTCTCTAATGTACTACCCCCAGAACTTTGGCAAGAAAAGTTATAAAAATACAGTATATTCAAATGGGCAACATCATAATTGTTTAGACATCCTATTTAACAGAATTCTAAGTTCTTTTGCTTTTATATAAATGAAACAATTATTTCTTCTATAAATAGGAATGCTTCTTTCAAAATTTTCTTTGGATTGATTTCTTATTAGCATCTCTCAGTTGAATAATACACTGAAACCATGATACAAACTTTAAGTAGATATACATATACATTTGTGAACATGTGCTTTTGAAAAACAAATAATGGTAATTTCAAACATAATCAACTGTTATAAAACAACTAAATGGAAAATTCCCCAACTCTATAGCTAGATTAAAAATCCCAGTAAAGTCTGTAAACAAAATCATACAAAAAAAGGCAAGGCTGGCTCTTCCCTAAGGTCCCTTCGGGAGCTGTATTTGCATAGCTGCATTTGGATAGTTTCAAAGCAAATTCCCTCTGATTTCCAGTAGCAGTCTCTTTCTCTCAACCCCATAAGCATCAGATTTAGATTTTGAGAGTTTGCCCATCAACCCAAATCTGGTCCTTTCTGAGTTTCTGATTTGCTACCTTTCCCTGACTACCCCTCCCCAACCCACTACAAAGCCTACACGCCTCCCCGCCTGAGGAGCAAGCTGGGCGGCCTCCAGTGGGCAAGGCAGAAGTCCCGCTGACAGGTGATTCTGAGCCCAGAAGCCCCAACAGGCCTTCAGCTTCTTTGCAATGGCTTTATTCCACGTAACTGTGAACCCTATTAGAGTAACTTCTGACCTAGGGACTGTGAAGCAACACTTGTACACATATATTAAGGGAGGAGGGAAAATAAGGGAGCACAATCTATGGTCAAGCTGTCTGCCAGGCAAGGTGTTGGGTCCTAACTTTATTCTTAGTTGCCTCTTGAATTGCTAAACAGCATTGTGCTTTTTTCTTTTTAAACAGGAGGTATTTGTGTTAGTCTCTAGACCTGCACTGCCCGATATGACAGCCACTGCCATGTGTGGTCACTGAGTCCTTGAAACGTGACTAGTCCAGATGGCGATGTGCTTTAAGTGTAAAAAACAAAACCAGATTTTGATACATTAGTACAAAAAAAAGAAAAAAAAAGAAAAGAAAAATATCATTAATGATAGTTACTTTAATTGCAGGTCAAATGATATTTTGGATAAATATATATTAAAATTAATTTCACCTATTTCCCCCCCCCTTTTTTATTGTGGCTACTGGAAATATTTAAATTGCATATGTGGCTCACACTATATTTCTATTGGACAGTCTGTCCTAGAGCCTACCTCAGGCTGCCAAAGATTATAATCTCTAACCGCAAAAATGTCATGTGCACCTTCACTCGGCAACTTGTGTAGGTGGTCTGTGGTTCATGGAAACGGACAGGAGGCCAAGCACGCAAAAATGGCATAGAAGCAAGCAGCTCTCAGGGACTCTGTAGCAAACATGCAGGGAATGTTTGAGTTTGGTTGGTTGAAAGCTTGGACACAGTTCATCTCTGCCTACTTGCCATAAAAGCTAGTTGAACCCAAGCAGTCAGCACTGGTGGGCTGTAGCTGAAGCAAGCAATAGCTTTGAGGATATACACAGAATAAAAATCTAGGTGCATTTCTTCATTGGATTCCCACCCCGCGCACACACACATTCCCACATCACCCTCCCACATCACCCTCCCTTCTTCCCTACTCCCAATATGGAAGGGACAAGGAAGCCAAGGGGAGAAGGGTGTGCCGCTCTTGATAGCAACAACAGAAGTAGCTCTTGGGCTGGGTGGAGAAGAGCAGGCTAGGATCACCTTGGGATGGGAGGAAGGGGTGGGGCACCCCTTTCTCTTCGGTTGGATCCACCTTGATGAAAAGATAGACAAAATATAAATTTTGGTTAGAAATTCAAGGATGTGTGCAAAGGTATTCACAACCCTACCCCCTAATCAGGGATGGAAATAACTGGCACAGGTGGATGAGAAGTGATAGGGAACAGGAAGAAGCAAATAAGGATCTGAACAAACATTACTAAGGATGACCCACCACTGGCTACCCAGTACTTGCATAAAGTTAAGAAAAATTTAAAAATTGCTTTTCTTCTTATCAAAAACATAGTGTGCATTTATTATAGGTTTAGAAAAAATAGCTAAGTAAAAACAAAGCAAAAGATTCACCCATGTTTGTGCCACCCAGAGATAACATTACTTACATATTTTCTATATATAAACAGTTCCTTTTTGTCTTCCAAAAATTGGATCATAGTCATTTTGAACATCCTTCAAAGTCATTACTCCTTACACATGTAATTATTGACACATTCTGTGCATATTCGTAAGCTATCCAGATTTAGGCGATTTACAGTATTTGAAATTCATTTGTCTCACACACATTTGTCTGAGGATGTTACTGTCGTTAGGCATAGGGCCAGGTGCTCAGATGCTTAAGCATGCCTACCAGGACACATGACAATTGAGTATGCATGCTGAGGCCACTGCGCTGAGACTCGGGAGAGCTGGCACCTGCAGATTCCTCAGCAGGCATCTCAACAGTGATCCTAGTCGCCCTGTTAGGGATTTCTGCAATAGAACCAAACCTCTGAGCAAAGACAGGAGTCAGAGGAGAACACTGGCATCCCATTGTCTTGCTGGTTCCTCTTACTATCCCAACCAAGTCTTTTCCTGGGCAGGCATCTGAGGAAAGACTCATCTGG